AGGCTACTGCATAGTTTATACAGCTTGTCTGAGCTTTCAGAAAGCAGGGGGTGGAGGGCTGAAGTTAAACCCTACAGAGCTCTGAGAGCTGATTGGAGGAAAGAGACAAACCCCCATTCACACAGCATGCAGGAATGGAGCTAAAGCTGTAAATCAGAGGCTGCGTGCTGGAACTCCTTAGCCTGTCCCCGTCGTACCTCTCGGTGTCAGGAAAACTTCTTCGAAGTGACTCATACTGATAGCAGAGGAACAAGGCAGCAGAAAGAAATTACACTTAATGCTCTTATAGAGGGATACGCTTTGTTCATATTTCATGCCTGAGATTTACAACCACTTTAATGTTGGGGTGATACAGTACTATATTGTGTCTTCCTTGGCATAGGCTCTGGCAAGGTAAGTTAATCTTCCTGTGTACTTAAAGTAGTTGTTAACATGCAATGGGCTCAATTCACTAACGGTTACCCAATGCGATATGAAGGTCACGTGACTCATTTTTTCAGAAATATCGCATGAGATAATAAGAGTGAATTCATCAAAGTAAAATATCAAATGTGAAGTATTTACAGCACATTTGGTAAAATAGTGAGATAAATACTGCATAAAACATGAGATAAATCATTAAAGTCAATTCATTAAAAATCACACGTTTGTTATTTATCACCTGGTGTTTGCTGGCGATATTTTAGAAATGTACAAAATAACAATTAGAGGAACTCTGCACTGGCCAGGGAGTGAAACGTATACAATGTGCAGTATCAGTGTGAAAATGTTCTCCTCTGAGCTCCGGAATGTAAATAAATGGTAACATTTTATCAGAGGGAGATTATTTTTTGAATGAAAGCACACTAGAAAGTTTTCTCAATTATGCTGTGTGCCTTCTGATGCAGTGTTAGCCTGCAAAAAAAACATTGCAAAAAAAACGCCAAAAATAACGCAAAATTAAAGTGCTATCACAATACAAATATGTGTATTTGTTAAATAACGCATGTTTTTTAGTGAATTGACTACTTTGGAGATAAATACAGCATTAGTTATTTTAACTCAAAAATGAATGCAGTATTCATCTCTGTGAAATGACCCCAATGTTGTAAACGCCATCTAATATAGTTATAACTATGCAGACACCATATCTGGTTTCAGAAATGATCTTTAGTACTGTTTATACAAGAATACAAAGTTCTGTCACCATGCAGTTCTTCTTCTTGCTAGTGGGGGCGGGGTTACAGGACCCTCTGTAGACAAATGGTGTGCCTGTATTCAATAGTCTGTTCAGCCTGAGGCTGTGCTTGAGCAAAGGGTGTGCCCAAGAGGCAGGCTGTAATTGGGAGGAGGTGTGTGCCAGAGACAGGCTATTATTGGTTATGAAGGGGGTGGTGGCTGTACAAACTACCCAATACAGACATGCTGTGTGTCTGCACAGTGTACTGTACCTCTGAATGGCCAGCCAAAGGATGAAAACTGACCACGCTAATACATTTCAGTTTCTTTGCTTTGTGTGTCAGTTTAGCAGGATCAACCCGGTTCTTCAGGTGAAAGAAGTACATGAAAATTATTAAGATTTATAAAATACACATATTGTATGTGAACACACACATAGAAGAAAGATAAAAATCTAGAGTTACATACAGTTTAATAAATAAAGTATGTGTAATGGTGCTAAAGAGAATATATAAAGAGATAAGGAGTGTTGTGTTTCCTGGAATTGCAGGATGCACAGGATTTTATAATGGCTGTTCTGTGTGATTCATTGGTAGAACTTCTACACTTCTAGATTGTTTCAATTTACAGCCCACGCTGCTCTTTGAAATAGTATTTTGAGGCCTGTGACAGCAATGTAATTCAGCTATAAGGACAATAATGGCAACAGTTAACTAATAGCAACCAAGTCAAATTCAAGATCAGTGGTGAGCTCCTGGTGTAGACACAGGGCAATATTACCCAGCCCTCATGAATGACTGCTGTCAGGGATGGTGCTAGACTATTTTGCATCCTAGGCAAGACCAGCTACTTGCGCCTCCCCTCCCAAAAACATTTTTTTCAAAGTAGAAAATATTAAATCAACAAAACATGAAACTGCTACATTTCTTTTAATTTGCAAAAATAAGTGCCATAAGATGCCATCAGAACCAATATTAAAGATGAAATCAGTGTCATAGACAGTCTGTATCTGTGGCTGGCAGTGGCAGGGTGACAGTTGTAGTGGATGTAGGATGATGGATCCACACTCTGACAGATTCCAGGCAATGGAGGGAGATAAAATACTGTGACAGCAGGCAGTTGAACTGAGCAATCCCACACAGTGACAGAACCGACACAACACAACAAACCACCACCAACACTGACACAGATCAGCAGGCACTAGAAAAGCAGGCTGTGGGCTCGTGGTCATGTCATCACTCACTGACACATTGCACACTGATGAATGGGAAGAGAAGGGCTGGAACTCTTGGCTGGAACATCCGGCTTGCAGTAAGGGACTGAGTCTGAGAGGAACACTGGAAGGAACACTGGTCCCAGATACCCAGCATCTTCCTCTGTCCTTTCTTCCTTCTCTCTGATGCCCCTCTTCTCAGCTGAAGGAGCATACATGATGTGGCGGTGTCCCACACAGAGGGAGTGCTGGCCTGTGCTGTGCCCAGGTGCCCCTAGGTGGCCACCTAGTTTGCCTAGTGGATGCATCTGCCCTGGCTGCCATCTGTCAGTGTCTCATTGGTTTGAGTGGGGTTCCTAACACCTTTTTTCAGGGGATCCTGCTGAGTCTCCATCAGGAAATTGTAGCTGGCCCCAAACACACATGTGAATGAGGCCTAAGCTCTTCCTGCTTCATTTTAAGCATGGAGAATGTTACTCCTAAAGGAAGCTTTTTAATATTTTTAGTGGTTCTCTACAAAATAAATTGTGTGCACATGTCAGAATGGTGGCACTTACACTCAGTGATGTTCTTTTCATATGAAGAATAACATTCAACCGGGGGAAAAAATAGCCAGGTAAAAATCGTTTTTGCTCCCTTTTGCACAGATCAAATGTGCATACCTTTTAACAAACTAAATAGCTGTAAAAACCCAACAGAGGTCCTAACCTATCTCTGTTGTGTCCAAAATTAAAACAAAAACAAAGTTTTCACTTTAAAGAGATCATTTAAAGTGTATGTAAAGTGTTATTAAATTCACAACAGTTAAATCAGTCTATATATACAGTAAAGCACGGTTTGTTATGCTCACAATGCAGGTTAATCCTTAGCATTGTGTGAAAAGGCTGTTTGATCCTGTCTTCTCTGTTGCTCCCTTTCAATACTGTCCTCAATCCACCTGCTGATAGTACAGAGCTCTAGGAGTCACTATGCACATGCTCAGTTTTGTGTGTATTGCTAGAGAGTTTTATTTCCCTTTGGGAGGGTGCATGTGATCAGCACAGGGCCAATCAACACTGTCCAGACAGAGTGTTAGGGGTTATGCAGCCTCATAGGACAGTCAGAGCGGAATAAAATCTCCTCCTACAAGATTAACTAGTGCTCAACTGGACATTGATAGAAGTCACAAGCCTGCTATATACTGCTGATGAGAAAAGGTACATAGTCATTTATATTTACTAAAATAGTTGCATTTCCATGTTCGATGTGCTGTGGGAGACAAGATATAGTGAATGCAGGGTCCTGGGTTTAGTAACACTTTAACTCAATTTATTGTAGGAGGATGAATGGGATAATCTGACACCTTGCTTAAAAAAAAAAAAAAAAAAATAACATTTCCTTTAGACCTTGTTAGTCGTGAGGCTACTACAGTGGCAAGGAAATTGGTTCAGTCTACAATATAGCTACGTCTTCTGCATGTAGGGGGCAGCTCCTGGTTAACCTAGCCACACAGGCACTGTTGATTCTCCAGTATAAGGTGTCCTGCATAAATATACAGAGGCGCCCTCACTTGCCCTGAGCACAGGATGTGAATTTAAGCGCGTTCTCTATATGTAAATATATGGCATATTTCCCATTTACATTCAGCTCAGCGCTTTCTTCATTCAAGGGCGCCAGCATCTCCATGAACTATAATTTGTTTATATATGACTGTAAATGTTCTTTATTTTGTGCATCTCATTTTCTATATGCAAGTAATTAGATATTTCTCTGTTTATCAGCTTTGGGAATAGTCTTGGATTAATAACCATGCTGCTCATTAATAAACAGGAGTTAAGCAGAATTTAAAAGCAGTTATACAGTCATACAAATGGGAAAAGGCTTATATGTGCTTATATGCTTTAAAAAAGGATTTGCTGGTTGTGTCTTCACAATGAAGAGATCCCTTTAAAGGGTAATTCCACTTTCATGGAAAAAAAATCGTAAAATAAAAAATAATACTATAGCATATACAATTGCTATACATGTCATTTTGTAATTTACTGGTCTTAAAAATGACCTTTCCTTTTCAGTCTGCAGCCACTGTAATTTTCTGGAAAATCAAAAGCAATATGTGAACCTGGAGGCGCTATGTGCACTGTTGGTGTATAGAACGTTTCAGAAAGGTCATTTCCTGCTTGTGTGATTAGCGCACTGATTTTCTCAGAAATCTGCTCTAAGATTCAAGTCACATTTTAGGCATCCCTTGCAATAGGAGTTTCAGTTTTGGCAAGGGTTAAATACCGTATTTTTTGCTCCATAAGATGCACTTTTTGGGGTAAATGTCTGTCCGTCTTATGGAGCGACTGGCCCAGTATTCCCCCCGTCACCGTCGTGTTAGAATACCTGTTCCTCTATCCAGTGGTGTCCTCATCATCTCATCATCTTTAGTGTGAGCACCCGGCTATGACAGCTTGCGGCTTCACAGCCAGGTGCCCACTGAGCATGCGCGAGAAGTGCTGCGCTTTGTGAATTGCCCCGTAGTCTTCTAGGAACTGTCACGTGTCCCAGAAGAGTTTGGGGAGAGAGGCGATTGCAGCAGAAGTGGGAGCGGGTACCTATCAAATTAGGGTAACCCCCCCACTGCTCCCCTAAGGTATGCAGCCTCTTTTCATCTCCTGTACTATGTCTGCAGTCTCTGGTCATCTCCTGTACTAAGTCCGCAGTCTCTGGTCATCTCCTGTAGTATGTCCGCAGTCTCTGGTCATCTCCTGTACTATGTCCGCAGTCTCTGGTCATCTCCTGTACTGTGTCCGCAGTCTCTGGTCATCTCCTGTAGTATGTCCGCAGTCTCTGGTCATCTCCTGTACTATGTCCGCAGTCTCTGGTCATCTCCTGTACTGTGTCCGCAGTCTCTGGTCATCTCCTGTAGTATGTCCGCAGTCTCTGGTCATCTCCTGTAGTATGTCCGCAGTGTCTGGTCATCTCCTGTAGTATGTCCGCAGTCTCTGGTCATCTCCTGTACTATGTCTGCAGTGTCTGGTCATCTTCTGTACTGTGTCCGCAGTCTCTGGTCATCTCCTGTAGTATGTCCGCAGTCTCTGGTCATCTCCTGTACTATGTCCGCAGTCTCTGGTCATCTCCTGTAGTATGCCCGCAGTGTCTGGTCATCTCCTGTAGTACATCCGCAGTCTTTGGTCATCTCCTGTACTGTCCGCAGACTCTGGCCATCTCCTGTACTATGTCCGCAGACTCTGGCCATCTCCTGTACTGTGTCCGCAGTCTCTGGCCATCTCCTGTAGTATGTCTGCAGTGTCTGGTCATCTCCTGTACTGTGTCCACAGTCTCTGGTCATCTCCTGTAGTACATCCGCAGTCTCTGGTCAACTCCTGTACTATGTCTGCAGTCTCTTGTCATCTCCTGTACTATGTCTGCAGTCTCTGGTCATCTCCTGTACTATGTCTGCAGTCTCTGGTCATCTCCTGTAGTGCAGTCCATTGGTTCAGAATGTTTTTTTTTCTTGTTTTCCTCCTCAAAAACCTACTTGTGTCTTATGGTCAGGTGCATCTTATGGAGCGAAAAATACAGTACTTCTAAAAGGATTATAGCACACTCCTAGTTCAGAGTAAGCTGCTAGTGTGGCTGCTCTGTAAACAGCGAAGCATGGGTTGATTGCTTAGGGTTGTTCAGTGTTTCACATACTGCTGTTCTACTTTCCCCTGACTTCTAGAAGAATATTTATTGCACTCCAGCCAATCCCTGGGGAGGTGTACCCAGAGGGTGTGGGGGGAGCCCAAAAGAAGTCTGAAGCCTGGCAGCAAACAGGGAGCAGAGTTCCTTGATCCATTCTTTCAGGAGGAGACACCTCTGTAGGGGCTCTGTCTCCGGGCAGAAAGAGACAGAGAGGAAGTCATTTAAGAAGACATTGAGGTCCTAACTAGGCATAGCTGCGGGGCCTACTGAAGAGAGCTGTATCCAGAGACTAAACAGATCCAGAAGGGAGTTGGCGGGGAGGATGCCCAACCATTCTGGGGTTTGATGTGAGACACTGATCCTGCTATAGAGAGGAGAAGTGATTGTGGGGTGGCCCGAATCCCCCCTCCCCCCAAAGCAGGTGCAGTGCAACCAGGAGTTGTGCAAAACAGCCAGGAGCGTGCATTACTGCTTAGAAGTTTTCCCAGTATGGCCAGGAATTTTTCAAGGCAGGCAGGAGTTGTACAAGACATCCAAGAGGGTACAATGCAGCCAGAAGTTGTGCAGTGCAGCCTGCATTTTTGTACAAAGCAGCCAGGAACTTGGTTCTTCTCAAGTTGTTCTACAGTTCCAAGGTATCCCATACTCCACATCCCTATCCAAGTTACTGTTTTAATAAAAACCCTAAAAGAAACCCCTAGATTGATCTTTGAGCCAGAGGAAAAAGAATGCTGCAAATGCAGTGTGCCTGGCTGTGTATGCGAGAGAAGAGGGAATAGGCACCAAAAACTTACAGCAGCACTGAAGGGTGCGCTACAGGATGCAGACACTGCGGTGTTCCTCATTATAACACTAAAAGTTCAGCAAGTGATAATAATGAACTCCAATCCAGAATCATTCTGCAAAGGAAAAGGTGAAACAGACAGTGATGTCTTCAGAGCAGCAAAGGGTAGGAATCTGCTACAAATGAGGTCAAAACCCTTCAGTGTACATAGATCGCCCATAGGGGTCTGTTTTTTCTTAACAACAATGAAGATGGCAAGAGTTGGGAGAGCAAAGTGGAAAGATGGTGTTAGCCCAATTAAAGTAAAGAAAAAATTACCACCATGGCAAATCTGAAGCCTTAAAGAAGAACTCCAGGATAGGCCAAAAAAAAATCACCCATTAGTATACCCCCCTACACAAAACACTAACCAGTTAATACATTTGTGAAATTCCTTCCAATTGAAGAGAAAAGTCTAACTGAATTTTCAGGAAGTCATCTCTGTAATTCAAAAGATAACAGCATCTGCTCTGCCAAGGAGGAGGCGTAACAGCGGGGATTACATAAAATCCTATTCTCTCTCTCTCTGCAGTAAAAGGAAACTACAGTTCCCATCAAACACAGGGAATCGCATTAAATGTGGGCGGGTACGCTAGGCCTGTACATGTTGAATGTGTCTGAGAGTCTCGTTCCGTTTACCACTGCAAGTGGGGCTGAATTACATCACTGCTTCCGGGAGAAAGAACTACAGAAGGGATATGCCAAGACCAGTGGCTGGGGGAATAGGAGGCATAGCAGTCACTGGTCTTACAAACAGGAAACCAAAGAGATTTAAAAATTAAGGCTTATTCAGAGCATTTAATGAGTGAACCAAAAGATGGATGACATATTCAGTGAAGGTAAGAAATCAGCAACAAGGACATGTAAAGAAGTTTTTGCCCAGAGTTCTGCTTTAAAGCTTCCAAAAGGAGGACAGGGTATCAGGAACATAGAAGTGTCTGTCCCACTCCCTGATAGTCCAGTTGTAGTTAAAAACAGAGCACATATGAATTAAAGTTATCAGAGTCCTAAATATTAGGTAGACATTGAGTTCCTACACCATACATTTGTTGTGTCTACAATTTACTGAAGCAGTTGTAATTCTTAAATATACCTATGTAGAGAACATCTAGTAAAGAAAATTGTGGCTAAGCAGTACCCTAAAGCATTTAACTTTGCCTTTATCCTAAGAAGATGTAGTGCACTTCTTTATATGTGACATTACCTAGGTACCCTTGCTCTATAGTCTTAAAGCTTCAAATCTTGCAGTAAAAAATAATGCAGGCCATATGCCTTCTACTTCCGTTATTTGGTGAAGTCACTACTGTGATGTATATTCTAATAATGACTTGCTGGTGAGGAAGCTGTATCTGATGATCTACAGTGGAAGGATCTCATTACTCCTATATCATTCAGCCTGATCCAGGTAAGTAACAGAAATCAACCTCTTACTCAGCTCCTGTGCTGTCTTCACTTCTGGGGATTCTTGATAGTCTTTTTCCTGCAATGTTGCTGTCTGTGGATCTGTGGCCCCTCCAACTCACTTGCTACATCTTCTTCATCTCTTCCATCACTGCTGTCTGTGTAAGTGAAGCTGTGCTTCCTCTTCCTCCTCAGGGGGTAAACTTTGACATCAAGAAGCCAAGATGTTGTCCATCACACCAAAACACAGTGCTAAACAAAGCATAGTGGGTCTGCTGGTGATTCCAAACTTTAGTTGGTTGTTTACCTCCATAACAATTACCGCATCATTCTTCTGTTAGCTTTACTTCAAGGCTAGGTTCACACTTCTGCAGTTCAAATTGGACCGCATTTTCAGTGCTATTATGTAGTGCAAATTGAATGTGGTTTGCATATTCTATGGAGCCCAGGAATTGCACCAAAAGTGTACAGGAACCTTTCCCAAAACCGTGTTGTGCTGAGTTGCATTGATGTGAAGGGGCACTATTGAAAAAAAATATGATTTTCATGCAAATTCAAGTCACAAGCAAAACTACATCTCCTAAATTGTCTTCTAATTTCGTAAAGCAAATAAGCCAGCCATACTAATATTTACACAAATAGCCATTGATGATGCAATAATTGCAAACTAACAATTTCTACACTGCACAGAGGAGATAAGAACTACTGGTGGTAAGAGGGGCTCCTTATCTGATCAATCCAAGTCCTTTCTTCTGCTAGGCACATTTTCTCTCATGCACTGCTGTTTATATGGAGCAAGCTATTGCAACAGTTTCCAGCCACAGAACACTGTTTACATAAAAAAATGGTATTTAAAAGCTATATAAAATTTAGCCGATACTGCGCTGGGGCCCTTGAAGAGATCGGCATGCTTATTGCTTATAGCTAAGTGAGATAGTCTAAGAAAGAAATGGATTCCTTTGTGTGCAGAAATGGGATAGGTACCAAAGTTAGGACTTGATGTAAAACTCAGCCAGGCAGGACAGACAGTACTTAATAGCAATTAACTAGAGACTTAGAAGATGTAAATGAAGCTTGGTTTCTCAAAGGATTTGTTCAGTGTCAGCAACAGAGCAATGGTGGGTAATTAGAGCAGCAGAATGGCTAAATGGTTAGCACTTCCACATGACAGTACTAGGATCCTTGGTTCAAATCCCAGGACAGTACCACCTGCCTGGAGTTTGCATGTTCTCCTTGTGTCTGCGTGGGTTTCCTCCATGTACCCTGGTTTCCTCCCACACTCCAAAGACATGCTGGTAGGTTAAATAGATCCTGTCTAAAATGGCCCTAGTATGTGTATGAATGTAAGTGAGGGACCTTAGATTGTACACCCCTTGAGGGTTAGGGACTGTTGTGCATGTATAATATACAGGCATATCTCAGTTTACGAATGCCTCAGTTAACATAATTTTCAGTTTACGAATGAAAATCCATTGAAAATAATGCCTTGGTTTTTTTCGCAATACGAACGGATTCATTGGTTTTCAATACATTTACGATTTTTTTTAATCATGTCCCTGTACAGTACTATGCCTTTAAAGTGCACTTCATACAGAATTGTGAACAGATAAAACTTTTTTTTACTTTTTTCTGACCTCCGGAACAGATTAATTGGTTTTCAATGCATTTACAAATATTTTTTTAATCATGTCACTGTACAGTACTATGCCTTTAAAGTGCACTTCATAAAGAGTTTTGAACAGATAAGACTTTAACTTTTTTCTCACCTCTGGAACGGATTCATTGGTTTTCAATGCATTTACACATTTTTTTTAATCATGTCCTTAAAGTACACTTTATAAAGAGTTTTGAACAGATAATAGACTTTTTTTTTACTTTTTTTTGACGGATTAATTGGTTTTCAATGCATTCCTATGGGAAACTGCGTTTAAATTCGTAAACAGAGGTACACCTATATATGTAAAGCACTGCATAAATTGACAGCACTATATAAGTACCTGAAATAAATAAAAGATTGGACTGCCTCAGAGAACAGAATGCTGGCTTTCCTGGAGCAGACCCAAGTGGCCGTAGAACCAGATCACTGTGCAATGCAGTATTCTCAGGTTTCCCTGCGGCAGATGGACAGGCCTCAGAGAGGTGTCGGGAAGGCAGCCAGAAAGTGTAGACGCATTGAAGGTCTAAGTGTAGAGATCTGCAGGGCTAAGCTGTGACTTTACAGGTAATGCAGACCAAGCTCGGCTCTCCCTCTCGGCAGCAGCTCCTCTCTCTTTATTCTGGCTGGCGGTGATTTCCCAAAAATCCCCACTCTTTCCCAGGCTTCTCCTCCCCTAGTTGTTATGAAGCTGAGAATAGAGGCTATGTGATCACTTATAAAAAAGGAAAAAAAGTATTTATAATATTTTTTTATATCTATAAATGTTTTTCCTTTCATTTCTTTTTTAAACTAAATGGGTTGTTTTACAAGGTGAGAGTTTACAATCACTTTAAAATCCCATTGACACCAATGCAATTTGTCATGCGATTTGACAGTTCAGAATTTCATGACAAGTCACATACTATTTGTGCCAATGTAACTGTTCAAATCTGTATGACTCCGACTTGAATCAATTTTGAAAAA